CGACGAGAGCATCTTCCTCTGGACCTGTCTACCATCCCAGCACTGCTCTTAGACCAGGGCTATGAGGGCCCTGCCCTGAATTCTGTGCTACAAAGGGTTCTGCTCTGGTTCCCTACAGGGCAAGGACTCCATGGGGTTAAGGGGACATGCCCTCAGAGTGCACATCACCCCCCCTTCTTGACCCTGCCTTCAGGCACCGAGGTCCCCAGAATTCTAAGCAGATGGCCCTGAGCTCACGTCTAGAGATTCTCCCCATCAGTCCTCCTAAGGGCAGTCTGAGGAAGGCGGGCGGGGAGGAGTACACATCCCTGAGCCCATGGGGTAACCAAGGGGTGGCTATTTGTGGGTAAGGATGAGGATGTGGATGGCGTTTGGGAGGTTCAGGTGGAAGCCCTCATTGTGAGGGAAGGAGCCAGGTGGGGAGAAGAGGCGTGGGCTTTGGTGGGGGTGGGAGCTCCCTCTGTACACTCACTGTAGGCCTCTGACACCCACCCCATGTGAATACATGGCGCTCCCTCACCCACAATCCTTCCAGCCAACACTGGCCGCATGACTCTGTCAAAATCCAATAAGGACTGCCCTGCCCAGCTCAACCTAGGGAGCTCCAGTGCCACCCCTAAAGGGTGCTTGGGCCTCAAGTTCAGAGAGGAGCTCCTGCAGCAGGGGGTGGAATGGAAAGCAGAAATCCAGCTGACTCCAGCTGCTTCTTTGAGCTTCCAGGCGGGGGACCAGGGTAGGCGGGGCCTGCCCTGAGCCCAGCCTGACACCTCCCGAGACACAGCCAGGCCTGCCTGACTCAGAGGGTGGGGTAACCCAGGAAGATCTCACCACCTGGGGCACCCCTGAGGACCTGCCCGGCCAGTTTTCCCATACTTGCCACATTGGTATTTAATTTTCAATTCCTCACATGCATCACCCTGGGGATGGTTTGATTCAGACCAAGGGAGGGTAAGAAGGGAGCCCCAGAGAGGACAACCCTCCCACCTCCAGCTGTTATCTTCACTTGGCTCTGGAAAGCTAGGGACAGGCTCTGGCTTGAGCCTTGGGCCCAGTTTCCCCTTGGAGTTCTACCTCCAAGTAAGTGGGGAGAAAGGGTCCTGTCCCTATTCAGCCAAGGCCCATGGTGGTGTGGACGGGACTGGATCGGGAAGAGACCTGGGCTCAGGTCCGGTCTCTGCCTCTATTGAGCTGTGTGACCTGGGCAGAAACCTTCTCTTCCTGGACCCCGGTTTTCTCATCCTGATGAGCACTGAGTTCCTACCCAGCTCTGCAGCTTGGTTATTGTGATCCAGTTCCTTACAGCTCTTGGAGCAGGAAGTGAATGGCTCTGGTGGCTGGACAACTGCCCTTTGCAGAGGTGGAAGCGGAGCTCAAGAAGTGACCTATATGTCATGAGGGGTCTGGATTCTCTGGGGGCCTCCAGAGAGTTGACTATACCTCCTGCCTCTCCCTTAAGGAGTTCCTTTAACACAGAAAGTCACAGCAGGATAGACCCTCCCAGGGCTGAGGAGCCAGAGGCCTGGGGAAAGGAAGGGCCTGGCCCTCAGCCACCCCACAGCCCAGTGACAGAGCCAGGACTGGTGCCATTTACCTGAGGATCAATCCAGGCTCTGTCCTAGTCACTGAGGGGTCCTGAGGCCTTTTAATAATTGGCCTGAGATGCCTGAGAAAGTATTTCTTAGTCCTCTGCACTCTCACCTTAGAGTGAGGAAGCTCTAGGGAGGAGGCAAAGGCATCTGCCCTTGTCTCCCCACCCTTTGCCCTCTCCTCTCACACTGTCCCTTTGCAGGCTCGCGTGGTGTCCTGCCAGCGTTCGGAAGATGACCAGGCCCAGAGAGTCACGAAAAACATGGGCCTTGTCAGGCCTTTGCCTGCCTTCTCAGCATGGCTGCCCTGTGCCTCTCCTGCCCCAGCGTGGCCTGGCCCAGGAGGTGCCCTCTGAGCATTGGAGAACAGGGAGGGGAAGGCCCGGCTGGTTAGGACAGTGTCACTCCCCACCCATCCTGACTTGGAGGGGTTTGGGGACAGGTGTGCAAGCGTGTGTACCTGTATGTGAACCACACCCACGGGAGCGCTTTCCTCTAGCTTCTCGTCATTCTCTCAGCCTCCTGCCCCAGCTGGAAGAAAGCAAAGGACCCGGCCCACAGCCTAAGGGAGAGGAGTCAGATTATTCCCTTCAGCTCAGAAGCAGGTGATGAAAGATTTTGGGGCTGCTCTTTATTTTTTGACCTGAGTCAGGAGCACAGACATGTCGCCAGGATGTGGGCCATCAGGTCAGGGGTTTTTAATCTAAAGGTGCACCATAGGCAGGCTTCCGGGGGCCTGAGAGCTCTCTGCTGAAATTGTAGGCAAAATCGCATATATGTGGCCCATAGCGTCATCATGGTCTCAAAGGAGTCTATGACCCAAAAGAGGCAAGGGACCCCTGCTGGACAGGGGTTCAGAGAGGCAGACAAAGAAGTGCAAGTAGTTCTGCAGGCTGATGCTGGAAGGAAAGAAAAAAATCTCTCAGGTAGTGGGTGGAAGGGAGACTAGGAAGGCCTGAAGAGAACTTAGATCCTGGAGCCTGGCTGCAGGGGTTCAAATCCCAACTCTGCCATCTACATGCTGTGTGAACTTAGGTAAATTACTATCCCATCCTGTCCTTCACTTTCTCCATCTGTAAAATGGGGGTTAATGACAACACCTTCCCAATAGGGTGGCTCTGTTGACTCTCTTAACATATACTAGGCATTTGGAACGGTGCATGACACACAGACTGAACAGCACTCCACCTGCTTTTCCCCATGGAGCGAAATTCCCCCTTTGGGGTTCAGTTCCTGCCTCGTTTTCCTCTGTAAAGCGAGGCTGGTGTGGACCTGATGAGCCCTTTACAAGTGCCAGGTCTCCTGCATTCATTGTCTTGCCCTCACCAGTGAGAGGGTGTGAGTGTGTTGGGGAGAAGCCCCCATCTCTTGGGACTGGCTCTGAGGTTTGCCTGGAAGGACCACTCCCAGAAAGGCAGCCTCAGAACTCTGGGTCTGACCAGCCAGCCAAGTCCACTCCGGTGCCTCCCCACCCGCAGTGTTCCGCAGAGCCTGCCTGGGAACTGCACAGCCCTGGTTGGCCCAGACTAGATCCCAACCAGAGGATGCAAACCAGAAGAGAGGGCAGCAGAAAGGCTGGGATTTGCCCTAGTCACCAAAGGGGCCCAAAGTGGGCGGGTGGGGCATGCAGGATTCTGGCCAATCAGAATGAACTCAGCGGTGCAGTATTAACCCTTTAGTTGCCGGCTCAGATCTGGGGGGCGGAGCCAGGACAGCAGGAAACAGTCAAGGGGCAACAGCCATTTATTTCAATATTTTAACAACCTAGGTGTGTCAGCCCTGGGCCCACACCACTATCATTCTGATATGTGCACCCTGGGGGAGAGCATTTAATTCACCTCCAGTAATAGAAAAACCTCAAAATTATTTCATCTGCGTTTATAGGTGCAATGACCCCTGTGTCACAGTTTTACAAACCTCTGGAAACAAAGGTAGGGGCTGACTCATTTGCATTGTACCTTTCTGTGTTTGTCTATAACGTCTATGAATTGTTTTTATAAGCAGAGAATACATTATTTAAACTTCTATTTCCAGAGGTCTGTGTGCTCAGCCCTCCACACAGAGGCCTTGGGGAAGCAGCAAGGAGAATGTAACACTTGGTCTCTCCCGTGTAGAATCTTGGGGTCTGGTTAGTGAAGTTGGACAAACCAGAAAAAAGCAAATGGTGATGGAGAGAGGAAGGTGGTTGTGCCAGGCCATGCTGGGCAGACTTTGCACGTGCCCAGGACCAAGGGGTGGGGTGCCTGAGGTCCAACAGGCCCCTGAGAACAAGGGGATCAGGTATCTTGTCAGTCCAGGTGGTACAAATCCTCACGGACTCCAGTGACAGCATTGTCCCAACCAGGACCCATCTGATAGACGCGAGGGAACCTACAATTCAAGAGGCTGACCATGTAGGCTCTAGATCTGGGCTGTCTGATACTGGCTGCCAAGTGGCTACTGAACGCTTAAAATGTCACTAGCCAGAAATGGAAAGTATAGTTCACCAGAGTTTGAAAGCTTTGTATGAAAAGAATGTAAACCACCGCATTAGTATTTTTTATATTGATTAAATGTTATAATAATCATCTTTTGAATATATTGGGTTTAGTAAAATGTATTATTAAAATTAATTTTACCTACTTCTTTTTACTTTTAAAGTAGCTACTAGAAAACATTACACGAGATGCACATTATATTTCTTTTGGACAGCACTGGTCTAGGCTGTCCCAGAAAACCCAGGAACTCTCATCCTGTAAACAGAACCAGCCACAGAGTGATTGTTTTTGAGTCTCCCTTGTCAAAGAACAAAAGTCCAACCACAAGCCCCAGAGGGGAGTTTTTGGTTTCCTGTAGTTTCAGACTCACAAGCAAATCACCTGTCTGTCCCAAATGCCCTTCTCCCAAGGGTCACTGCTCTTTGTCCTTTGAGACAGCAAAGGTGTCACCTCTTCCAGGAAGCCCTCCTTGACCATGCCCTGTGGCTGGATCAACTGCCCCTGCTCTGGCTACATTCTTTCAGTCTATGTACTCACTTGTGTCCTGCCTTTAGAGCAGCAGTGCTGGCTCAGTCATCTCCACATCCCAGCATCTAATGCGGGGCCTAGCATGGAGAAGGCAGCCAGTGATTTTGGAATATGAAGCCTGCTTAGCTGGAGGTACCCACTGTTGCAATGCCTCTGCATACAAGTTCCCCATAACCTCGCCTTGGGTTCTGACCCAGAATTGACACCCCCAATCCTAGCCTTCTTGCCATGATCCTCAGCCATGCCTCCTTCCAGTCGCTGCCCTGGGTTGGCACCAGGAAGGAAGGGAATGGACAGAGGGTGAGGCTGATGTCCACTAGGCCAGGGCAGGAGGGGCTACTTCCTCCAAGGCAGCCCAGGTGGCCCGTCCAGAGCAGACCCTTAGACACCAGAGCAGAACCGTACTCACCAGAGGAAGGAAGGTCAGTAGGGGCCGAACTCGTGGCCGAGCTTTCAGCGTGGCTGTTCCCGACTCGCTCACCGTGTCAAACCGATTGTCTCCATAATAGATCCCATCTAGAGGAGAAGGGGAGGCTGTGAGCTGGAGATCAAACGCATGTTGACCACTGAGTTTAATCTGCCCAGCAGTTCCTAGTGAGGAAACCCAGGCCCTGTGGTTGGCCCTTTTTGACTCAGATCCTACACATAGGGTGTTTGCTAATGGGATCTACTAAAGTAGGATTGGGAGGGGCTCCAATGGGCGGTTTCTTGGGGTCTCCTGCAGCGCAGCGTTCCGGGGGCTTTCAACCCCCAGCACCCATCTGTCTCTGATTCATCACCTACAGGTCCTGAACCCTCACTCCCACAAGCCATCCCTTCTTTGGGGGCCCTGAAGCTTAGCCAAGGCCCCAGCTAAAGCTTATCTTGGAGAGAGGGAGAAAAACAACCTGGCTTTTCTCTCAAGTGTTTGAATTTCTAATCTGGAACAAGCAGAGTAGATGAGGCCACCTGCTGCCCCCAATAGCCCAGCACCTACCTTCTGGACTCCTCTAACTGGAGATTTCCTTGCCCCCCAATTCACCAACAGGTGTGTGCTTGGCTCTGTTTGATGAACCCTTGAGGGCAGAGAAGAAAGAGTGGGACAGTGGGGTCCATGTGACCCAATACAAATCCCAGCTCTGCCACTGACGGGCTGTGTGGTTTAACTTCTCTGGGCCTCGGTTTTCCCATCTGTACAATGGGAATGATGGTAGTGCCAACTTTATAGGACTGTTGTGAGGAGTGTTGGCAGCACATAGTAAGCACTCAACACACATGGTCTCTTTCCCTGTAGGCAGATGATATGAAGGGCCTTCCTCTTCCTCCAGTTACTGGGCCTGTGCTCCAAGCTGTTTCTACAGTAGTGGGAAGGGTGTGAGGAGCCATTCACTCTTTCTCAATCAATCTTCCTCATGAGGCTTAACACACATTGATAAGAACTTTACATCCACCCCAGGTTGTCACCTCCCAGAAGCAGGGATCATTGTGGGCCTCCTACTATGTCACTCACACGGTAAGTGGCTTACATCCACTTAACAGGCCATGAGAGACTTTCTCCTTTATAGCCAGAGGGGAAAGAGAAGAAAAGTCAAAATCCCAAGTAACCAGAATCTTACTAACTGGAACATTAAAGGAATGGTGATTACTTTTCCCCTAAAGTAATCACTTCTCCCTTGCACATGACTTTAGGAGAAAAGTGCAAGAAAGCCAAAAGATTTATTCAAAAGAGATTGGGCTTGTCAGGGAGGTCCTGGGATCAGAAAACATTCATCCCCATTCTTATACCTCCAGCCATGGCCCTTTCTGTGAGAATCTGGGCTTCAAAGGTGACGTGGAAGCTCCTGGGAAGAGGGCAGGGAGTGGATGTGGAGCCCTTTGTCTGCTGCCCTGCCAGGGCGAGAGTTGGCTGGTGCATTTAAGAGTCTCATGTCTCAAAAGGGACCAACATGGAGAGTTCTCCATGTGCTCCACACGTCCCAGGACCCTGCAGTTCCCGGCACTGCCCTGCCGCTGTACTGGGGCGGGCAGACAGACAGGATTCCCAGTCCAGGCTGCCAGGCTCCACGCCTGAGGCTGGAGGCCAAGAGCTAAGGGGCGGGGCAGGAGTGTGGGGAAACCAGAGGGGAACTCTGAGAATGTAGATGTGGCTCAACCAGAAACAACCACAGTAAAGATAACTGGATATACCCGGCAGCTATCCTTAAAACCCACCAGATTCTCCCTGGCTTCCAGGAGCCTATGTGTTGGCCAGGATCTCCTGGGACATTCTCTGTAGTGCTGTGTGTGGGATAAGGTCTTAGATCTGATATGGCTGTTAGGCTCTTAATAGGACTGGGGGTGGGGTGGGGACTAACACAGGGCCTGGGGGAGAGACACACTCCTAGGCACACCCTCTCTTTAATTATTTCACTTAATCTCTGCACTGTGTTGGGGTCCAGGGAGCCTCCTTTCTATAGCTGAGTTATCATGATATTAATGGCTACTGTTATTGTGTGCCTAGGAGTTTCTAGAAGCAAGCAACCTGGCAAGGTGATCACTATAATAATGGTAAAAATATAATAATATGGAAAACTTATTGAACAATTTTAACAGATCATGTACTGTTCGAAGCATCATATACATTATTAATTCATTTAATTCTCAAAACAGCCCCATGCAATTGACATGATCATTACCCACGTTTTACAGATGAGGAAACTGAGGCACAGAGAGGTCTAATAACTTGCTCAAAGCCTCAAAATAAGTGGCGAAGCTGGGGTCTGTGCTCTGGGGCTGATCTCTGAACCACTACATACACAGCTCCCAAAGCGGGGGCGGCGTGGGGGAACCCTAATCCTGCCATTTACAGGACATGGATGGTAGGATGGGGGAAAAAGGGGGCAGGCTTCTACTTGAGGGTAAGGGAGGCTTGGTGGCCACGCAGCAGGGCTGGGGAGGCATGGGATTTGAAGCAGCTTGTCCAAGGTCATGCACGGGTCAGGGCACAGTGGATCTGACCCCCTACATGGGCGGGCACTCTTAACACCTCAGATTCCATGACTCAGCCCTGACTACGAGGCACTGTTGTCTCGGTTGGTTTGTGATTGTTTTCAGCAGGGGAATCCTTTCTAAGAATACAATTGTTCTCTGGGAAACCTACTGAAGAGGAGGGGTTGGGGGTGAGGCCGGGCAGAAGGCCCAGGTGGCTCCCTCCCCACTGGAGCACCTCTTGGAAGTCCAGTTTGATTTCCCAGTTCTAGGAGGTGTGGCTGGGAGTCAGGGAAGGAAAGGGGGTGATGGCAGCAGAGTCACAGTGATGTGATATGAGAAAGACTCGACTGGCCATTGCCATCTTTGAAGATGGCAGGAGGCCACGAGCCAAGGACCACAGGGAGCCTCTAGACCAGCGGTTCTCAACCTTCCTAATGCTGCGACCTCTTAATACAGTTCCTCCTGTTGTGGTGACCCCCAACCATCAAATTATTTTCGTTGCTACTCTATAACTGTAATTTTGCTACTGTTATGAATTGTAATGTAAGTATCTTTTTGTTTTCCGATGGTCTTAGGTGACCCCTGTGAAAGGGTCGTTCGACCTCCAAAGGGTTCGCGACCCACAGGTTGAGAACTGCTGCATCTAGACACTGGAAAAGGTAAGAAAAACAGATCCTCCCTTACAATCTCCAGGAAGGAGCAAAATCTTGCTGACACTTTAATTTTCGCCTAGTGAGACGGGTGTCCGACTTTTGACTTAAAGAAATGTAAGCTAATAAATGTATGTTGTTTTAAGCAAAAAGGAAAAAAAAGAAAAAGAGCTGGGGCTAGAACCGGACAGGCTTTCCCTGAGCCCCTCATACTTGGGTCAAGTCATACCATCAGCAGGAGATGCAAGTGTGTCCACCACCATAAGCTAGGTTCTCCAGGGTTCAAGTTCAGGGCCGGGGTTTTCTGAACCTCAAACTAAAGCTCCAGAACTAAACAGAAGACAATAGAGTCTAACCTTGGGGATTTTCCTATGGAAGTAAATGAACTCCATCAGGATCACAGTGTCAAGGACACTAGAACGACCTTCCTGACAAGCAGCTCCTTCCTCAACTGAAGAGGGAGAGGTGGGCCAGGCTACCTCTTGAGGAAGGAATGGGGCCGTGAGGAGGTAAAGGGACGACAGAGAGGAGGCTGGACAACTCGCCATCTGAGGACACAACGAGGCTGCTCAGTCAGAAAACAGGGATCCGCTCCTAGGGTCTTGCCCACCCTGAAACTTGGAAGCTCCCTCTGTGTCTGCATTTTTACTTGACCCCTTTCCCACTGGAAGAGGTTTTGGGGAATCTCAGAGGTTTTGAGCTTGCCACACGGACCAGAGAGGCAGCTGAGGAACACCCTGGTGGGATTCGGAAGGCAGGAAAATGAAGACAGCCACGTGACCAGAAGCTTCCAGGGAAAGGGGGACCTTCAGGAGGCCCCTGGGGCAATTCCAGCAGCCAGGAAGGCTTGGGGGACCCCAGAAGCAGGATCTGAGCAGAGCCTGAGCCCCAGGAGGACCACAGCCCTGTCAAGGTACAAACTCTAGCCTCTACCCGGCAAATTCACCTAAAAATAACACTGATAAAATAGGACGAAACCCAGGTCTGCCTCCATTTACCCAAACCTGATCATTAAAACCATCCCAATTTCCCCCAAATGAAATCCTCTTTCTGACAGAATCGTGCACAGGATTCCTTTCTATTTGGTTACAGTTCTCCCTCATATCTTTACAGAAAATGAAGGCAGCTTTGCTTTCTTTTACCCTCCCTTAAGGACTTGAGCTCACATAAATACCACCTAATATCCAAAAATCGGGCTTGAAAATAATTCTTTGGGCGTAGCTCACAGTGGCCCATGTGGGGATTGAACTGGCAACCTTGGTGTTATCAGCACTATGCTCTAATCGACTGAGATAACCAGCCACTCCTGAAAATAATTCTTAGTGCCACATCTCTTTTAGCAGGAAGGCTTTACCTCAGATTTTAACCTGGGGGTAGCAGCTCCCCTTCTCCAAGGCCTCCCTCAGGAGAACCTGACCCTACTATTGGTTTCAGGGGTATCTATGTTGTGGCTGAGACTGCCTGGGCTCTGAGGAGGCCACAGCCAAGGCTCAGCCCCAGGCCAGAGACCCCAGGCAGCTCACAGCTCCTCGGTGGGGAGAGGTGACAGGACAACAGTGTGGGGTCGAGACCTCAGGTACAGAGCCCATCTGGATTTGCATTCGTCCCTGCTCCATCACTTATCAACTGTGGGGTCTTGGAAATGTAACTAGATCTTATTGAGGCTGTTTCCTCATCTTTGTAAATGTGAGTAATGGTGCCTACTGGGTGAGTTGGTGTGAGGCTGAATGAGATAAAGTGCAACAGGTTAGGGGCCGGCGGAGTGGCTCAGTTGGTTAAGAGTTGGCTTAAGAGCGCGAGCTCTGAGCAACAGGGCTGCAGTTCGATGCCCACATGGGCCAGTGACACTGAGCCCAAGCTGAGCTGTCGCTGAGTTGCCAACAGGTGGCAGGATGGCTCAGCTGGTGGAACAACAAG